AGTAGAATTATAATGAGGTGATTCTCTTTTGAATTAGTTTGCAAATATTAAATATTTGGTTTTGTTATATAAATAAAATATTCAATTTTTGGTAGTTTAATATTTTTTGTGAGCAAATTGAGTCAAGAAGTCACCAAAGTAACTTCTCTTGAATTGGGCAGTTCATGAAAAATATTGAATGTTAGTGTTTGTGTATATTCATGCGAGTATTAGTCGGCCCAAAGGAAGATTAATATTTGGCCGAATTGCATACACACTTGTAATGATAAACATGTGATAATTATAAGGATTTGCTTTGTCGATGATAAATCAATCCAAAGACTGGTTTGTTGTTGGACGTGCTTTATTGTCAATGTTTGATTATTACAACAAGATACCTCTAGTAGTTAATATTACTGTCCAAAGACTTGATATTGATGGTGCATTGGGTATCTTGAGATGGGTTAAACCACTATTTGAATATATATTATTTATTTTTTATATAATGTGAGCATAATTAGTTTATTTCTCGTGTTCTAAATTCAGCTACAATTGCTTCTGTATCTGCCAATTTAAATTATGTTCCAGTCCTCAATGGAACAAATTTTAAGGACGGGAAAGAGAACATTGATATTGTTCATGGTTGCATGGATATGGATTTTGCGTTAAGGACTGAGCAAACCCCTACTCTTACGGATTCAAGTACCTCTGAACAGAAAAGAGATTATGAGAAGTGGGATCGCTCAAATCGCATGAGTCTAATGATCATTAAGCGTGGCATCCGGGAGGTGTTTAGGGGCACTGTTTCTGAAAACATCACAAGTGCGAAAGAATTCCTTGCTGAAATTGAGCAGCGCTTTGCAAAAAGCGATAAGGCGGAGACAAGCACTCTTCTTCAGAACTTGATCTCCATAAAATATCAAGGCAAAGGAAATATCAGGGAATACATTATGAGCATGTCTAATATTGTTTTTAAACTCAAGGCACTAAAGCTTGAACTCTCAGAAGACTTGCTCATTCATTTGGTGTTGATTTCTCTTCTTGCAACGTTTAATCAATTTAAGGTATCTTACAACTGTCAGAAGGATAAATTGTCTCTTAATGAGCTCATTTCACATTGCGTACAAGAAGAGGAAAGACTAAAGCAAGACAAGACAGAAAGTGCTCATTTTTTGCAAGCACCTCCAAGGCTAAGGGCAAAAGAAAGAGATCAGAGGATCTCGAGAAAGAAGGTGCTAAGGGTCCAGAACAAAAGAAACAAACTCAAGAAAACAAATATTTCTTTTGCAATAAGATTGGACACGTAAAGAAGAAATGTGCTAAATATCATGCTTGGCGTGAAAAGAAAGGGTTGCCTAAACTACCTAAGCCAATTGATTCTGAAAGATGGATTTATGTTGGAGATGACAAATCGGTAGAGGTGGAAGCTATAAGTCATTTTAAATTATTATTAAGTACTGATTTTTTATTTGGATTTGAAAGACACTTTTGTTATGCCGTCATTTAGACGGAATTTGGTTTCAGTTTCTTATTTGGACAAATTAGGTTATTTATGTTCATTTGGAAACAATAAGTTCAGTTTGTCTTTTAATTCAGATATTGTTGGAACTAGTTCACTTTTAATTTATGATAATCAGTATTTACTTGATATTGTGGCCACCTATAATGAAACCCTTAATGCGAGAATCATGTGGTACTAAACGTAAAATTGAAAATACTCACTCAAGTGCATTATGGCACAAGTGCTCGGGTAACATCAAATTGTAACGTTTGGGCTTATGTTACACTCTTAAAGATATGGTAGAGATTATGATTTGGCATTCCACCTTACTGGAATCACTTTGGGGAGAGACACTAAATATGACAGCTTATATTCTAAACAGAGTACCAACTAAAGCAGCTACCAAAACACCTTATGAGCTTTGGATTGGGCGACAACTTAGTCTGAAGCATTTCCATGTGTGGGATTGTCCAGCTGAGGCAAGACCTTATAAGTCAAATGAAAAGAAATTGGACTCCCGAACAGTAAGTGGTTATATTATTGGTTATGCTGAAAGATCCAGGGGATATAAATTTTATGATCCCATATTAAAGACATTTTTTGAGACGGGAACTGCTACGTTCTTTGAGGATATTAAGTTTGGGGGGAAGAATAAGATTAAGAACTTCATCTTGGAGGAAGAATCGGTAACAATTTCAGAACCAATTCAAATAGTTACTTTTGATAAAGTAAGTTCGGAACCTCCACAAGGCATTGTTGATGAACCCCTTACTCAAGATGATTTGGTTGTTCATGAAGAACAAACTCAAGATCCTCAAGAACCTGTGCATCATGAGCTAATAACTTTGTAGAGATCCACTAGAGAAAGAAGAAGTGTTATTTCGGATGATTACATGGTATTTCTTCAGGAACATGAGGAAAATAATGATATAATGGAAGATGATCCAGTTAACTTCCGTCAAGCTATATAAGGTTCTAAATCTCAAAAGTGGATTGAAGCAATAGGATAAGTATAAGTCCATGCAAGACAATAAGGTTATTGGGAACTTGTCCCATTACCAGAAGGTATGAAACTCATTTGGCTTCAAGATGAATATTGTTGATGATTGTATGTATCACAAGTTTAAAGGGAGACAAGTTTAGTCTCAATCAGTGCCCAAAGGGAATTTGGAAATTGAGGAAATGCAAAAGATTACCTATGCATCAGTTGTAGGGAGTTTGATCTATGCCCAAGTATGTACGCATCCAGACATAGCATATATAGTTGGGGTTCTAGGCGGATATTTAAGCAATCCAGGAATAGACCATTGAAAAGCGACAAAAAGGGTCATAAGATATTTAAAGAGAACAAAAGATTATATGCTCACATATAGGAGGTCGGACCAGTTGGAGATCGCTGGGTTTTCGACTCAGATTTTGTAGGATGTCAAGAATTTGTAACTTGCTATGAGGTATCAAATCATGGAATATGGCTGATAAATTTTGTCACGAGGCTGCAAATTGTGAAAGGCATTGAAAAACCACTTAAGTTATATTGTGACAATAAATCAGTTGTATTGTTAAGGAAAGAGTACAAAGTGGACAGATTTTCATAGAACACTTAAGGACAAACTCCATGATACCGAGATCCTCCGACTAAAGGACTTCCGCCCAAGGTCTTTCATGAGCATTTTGCTCACATGGGTGTTTTACAGTTTGAGGAATTTGTGGTTTAGTGGGAGTTAGTCACTTTTATATATTTTATGTTCTATGTTTAATTTCATATATGTATACATTGTTTTTTGGACATATTTGGTTATCTATAGATATGCGGTTTTTTCGTTCATTCATTACACTTTGTACATTAAGGATATTATATCGATCTCAATAACTTAAAGTTTGGACCAGTTGAAAATAGACGTGTACAGATCACCTTCACGTAATTTTTCATGCTACACATTTCATGATGAATCCATGTCATTTGGTTATGTTAGGATGAGTAATCATTGTTGGTTTTAGTTGCGATGATGCAATGAAAAGCTGGTTTGGTTCTATATCCTAATATAATTAATGGACGAGGACTTTTGGAGTATGCTAAAGGAATATAATGGCAATTTTGAGCTCATAAAGTCTAACACATTTGTAAGGTTGTAAGGACATATATATTTGTGACCGAGTGGGAGATTGTTGGAAAAATTTGGGTCATGTATATATATGATACATAATTTAAATGTGTTAGAGCCATTATTTATTAAGCCAAATAATAAAGTGATCTGACTAAATTAAAGTTTTGGCTAAAAGCATATGTCATGAAAATAAAATTGTGTAGAGACCATAGAGCAATTTCTAATTTGATGAGGGGCCAAATTGGAAATACTAAAACTTAAGTAATTAACCTAATTCCGGTTATCTAAAGGGTCATGGTCCCCTTCGAGAGCACACATACGAACGTAAGTATCGAGTCCGTTCTTTCTTTCTATCCTCATCAAGAGAAAATCAAGAGGGAAATACAGATGCTCTTCAAGTGGAAGACCATAAGATCAATATAGTGCTCTACAAAGACATCATCGTTATGGCTAATTCAGGTACGCTTTCGTATTCAGTTTACAACATGTTTATCAGTATGAGATTATGTTTATGTTTGATTGTTAGAATCAAAATCAGGATTATTATTATTATTATTAATTTTCCAACAGAAAGCGCTTGCTGCTGTTGATTTAATATTCTACTAATATAGGCGATTGGGTGATGGTTTTGCATGAGGACTGCTCCAATGTCATATCCTGATGCATCCACTTCTACAACAAACTTCTTAGAAAAATATGGTAAAGCCTGTACATGGGTTTTGCACAACAACTCTTTTAACTGTTGAAAGGCTAACTTAGCTTCCAGCTTCCACACAAAATTGTCCTTCTTAAACATATCCGTAAGAGGTTTTGCCACTGCACCCAACCCTTTAACAAATCTTCTATAATAACCTACTAATCCCATAAACCCTCTCAACTGTTTATAATTTCTAGCAAAGGCCAATCTCTCATTACCTCAATTTTGCTAGGGTTAGTGGACACCCCTTCTTGGGAAATAAAATGACCCATATATTCCACTCTAGGGACAATAAAGAAACATTTGGATTTTTTTGCAAAAAGGCAATTGTTCCTCAAGGTCATCAACACTTGTTTGAGGTGACTGACATGCTCCTGTAAACTGCCACTATAAACCAATATATCATAAAAATAAAACTAGAAGAAATTTCCTTAGAAATGGCTGGAAAAACGTATTCATAAGGCGTTGAAAGGTTATTAGAGCATTAGTCAATCCAAATGAAATTAGCATATTCATAGTGTAATCCACGAGTCTTAAAAGTTGTCTTATGCACATCTTCTAGAAAAGTTGGAAAGATGAGTCTTCATCTAAAACTGCAATCTCCTCCATATCTTCTAGAACTTCCAGAACATGAATTTGCAACTTTTGGTCAGAGGAGAATAAGGTTCATCGCAAAAATAACAAAGGCCGTTAGCCCTCCTCTCATTCATGAATGTAGGTATGAGATTTCTACTTGTTCCAAAACGAGAATCAGCTACAATAAAAGGGACCTTTGCTGGAATAATTTTGTTGGACGCTGTTGGTTTCGTTCCCAACAAACCCTTCCCTTTGTCGTTGACTTCCGAAGGCAAGATTGAAGTAAGCCGAGCCAGAGAAAAAGCTTTATGCACAGTGGTAGGTTGAAACATTCTAACTAACATTTGTATATCTTTTCGTAAACCCCCCAAAAAACAACTCAGCATGTAATCTTCAGTAAGATTTAATTTGATAATCAAATCATCAATTTCCTCAAATATTCAGTAACAATTCTTTTTTGTCGCAATCTCATTAGTGCACCCATGGGATCCTCATCCATCTCCCCAAAACGCTCTAATACTAACTTCTTATAATCGTTCCATGCTAAAGCAGAACAATTAGCAAACTTGTCCATAGTAGGGGCCATTGTAATGCACGTCATTCTATGAGTCACAACCAATTTTACCCGCATATCCTCTGTAGTATTATCAATGAGAAAGAAATTATCATTTTGATACGTCCATTGTTTAACATTGTCACCATTGAATTTAGGAAAATCAATTCTAGCTAAATGTGTCTCCCAAGAATAAGAATAGGCATTACACCCTTCACCTTTATGTGTATGTTGATCACGTTGAACATTTTGAGCCAACAAACTCTACATTGTCTCTGTCAACGACTCACTTAACGTGTGTTGCATAAAACCCGCAATCTCAGTCAACTACGCTTCCATTTTTGTGACCAACCAATCTTCAATATTTCGTTCCGCCATTGCACTACGCGTCGCCTCTGCCATGATCGACTACCAACTTGAATCGCCTAATTGATACCACTTGTTAAGAGCAATACTAATTCTAGGTTGGATGAAATAGTTAGAAGATCCGCTATCAAGGAGAATGAAAACTTCATGCTCGAATAGAAACCCACAAAGTCACAAGGTACCTAGTTTAGAAGCACCACTAAAAGCGTTGAGATAGGTCATGACATTCTACCACTTTTTCCTCAATTTTCGGATCTAAAACATTCTACACTAAAGTCTGTAGATTATGTGGTGGTTCGTCCTCTTGGAGAAGAAAAAGAAACTGACGATTCAAACATCGATGGGTAGGAGAAAAGTTTTCTTCACACGTATAACAAAGGTCATGGTCGTGACGAATCTACATCTTAGTGGCAGTCATGCGTTTTACTGAATTAGATGAATTAGGCCCAAGCAAAGTTGTTTTGGGCGTTGGAAGCAAACCCGGAAGACTTGATGGTTGTCAAGAAGGAAGAGGGTTACTATATATATTTTGGTGTTGATTGTAGGCAATGAATTTGGTCTTTAAAGGAGTAGAGTAATGCCAATGATTTGTGCAAGGAAGTCGGAGCCTAAACCAGAACTTCTCGTTTGACATCTGTTTTAAGGCTTCTTATAAAACAATCTAACAAAGCATCATTGATTACTCCTATTCCATTTGCTAAGGCTGAAAATTCATGGTAGTAATTTTGAATCGAATTAATTCGTTGAAGTTTGAATAAAGCTGCATGAGGATCAAACGGAGAAGGACCAAAATATGCTTCAACCGCCTGCACAAGGGCCTACCAAGTGGGGATAAGATTTGTGCGTTAAAGTATTTGAAGCCTAGGTCCAACAACACCTTCCATATGGATCGTAGCAATAGCCAACTGATGCGGTTCTAGTGTTTGATAAAGAGCAAAGAACTGTTCAACACAAAATAACCAATTGAGTGGTTCTGAGCCATCAAACTTGGGAAAATCCAATTTCAGAGAGCGAAAAGATAAATGATTATGGTTAACCCCTGGAACGGTATTAGTACGAACCACACATTCTAAATGACATTGTACCATATGGCTCTCAACATAATAAAGTTCCACACAATGAAACTTCAAGCTATATCACCTACTCACGCTTTTACAAGTACCAGTAAGTATTACGAGAAATGAATAAATCCCTACTCACGCTTTTACAAGTACCTGTAACTATTACGAAAAATGATCAACTCTTGCAAAAGATTTTCCCTTTCATTGACTTGACTGGCAGAGTATATTTGCAGGCACCTTTTCATCAACAGTTATCCGAACCTAAGAACTTGCTTGGCCTTCTACGAAAACTTCGAGAAGACCTAATACTCCGAAGGAGCTAACTCAAAGGGAAGGTTAATGTTTGAACATAATTGGTGCCCACTATGGAGTCGGACAAGGACAAAATCGATGATATCCACCAAGAACATGGCTAAGGTAGAAAGGCAAGGTTGATAGATAAGAAAAGAAAACCCTGTTAGTGAAGCGATCCTTCTAGCTAAACTAAAAAGAGAACTCGAGAATTTCAAAATGGAAAACTCGAAAGAGATAATGGCTCTGAAAAATGAAAACGATCGAATCCAAAAGCAATTGGAAGAAAAAGAGGGCGAGCACGATTCAGGAAGTCCGAAGACATCTAGATCGCGAGAACACAATACTCGTTCTCCGTTGTCCAAAACACAAGCTCAAACCTATTTCGGCGTAAGCACCTCCTTGGGAGCAACACCAAACCTAGCGCTAGCCATTGGACTGCGTTGACACCCTTTTGTCGATAGGATTACAGAAGTTGCTCCATCGACTTCTTGGAAAGGTCTAACGATAGACAGGTATGGTGGAACGACAAACCTGAATGAACATATAAATGTATATGTGACGCAAATAAGCCTCTGCACCATCAATGACACAATTTTGTGTCGAGTGTTCCCTATTTCATTAGAGGGAGCAACATTAAATTGGTTTACCAAGTCACCCCATACTTGATTGACCATTTCAAAACCTTGGTGGCTAAGTTTGGAACACAATTCATCACCAATCGACCACACCATCTTACATCAATTGCTCTCGTCAATATGAGACAAGAAAAAAGTGAAAGCGTCAAGGCATTCGTGGAAAGATATACCTGAACATATGAAACCTAAATCCAAGAGTCGCTTTGCACCACTTAGTAACCCTGAAACCCAGTCCCTTCACTGATAGCTTATGTAAAAAGTTGGCAGAGGACCTCGATGAACTAAGGAGAATGGCAGAGAAGTTCATGCAATTGGAAGAATTGAGAGAATACTACAAAGAAGTAAGGGTCGATACTTTAGCGAGCAGACCGAGGCAAGAGGATGCAACCACATAACATATTTGAGGATTCAAGGACTCCGTTGTTCACTACTACATAAAACACTTACTACGACAGCATCCAATGTCGGTTTTTATGAAGACTGACGTTGTACAAGACTCGGTGGCAAACCTGTAATTAAGAAACAATATTTAACGTCGGTTATAACAAAACCGACGTAGTAATGGACAAATAACGTCGGTTAGATAACAGACGACGTTAAATGTTTAAATTTAACGTCGGTTATGTATAACCGACGTTGAAATCCCAAAATCAACGTCGGTTCCATGATTTACCCGACGTTGAAAGCATTATCCACGTCGGGTTTTTTAATAACCGACGTCGAATGTCCTAACATACCTAGCCTCCAGAGCGCGCAGTTGTTCTTCTACTTCTTCTTCGTGCTCTGGTCTCAGTTCCTCTGCTTCTTCTTCGTCATCTGCTACCTCAGTCCTCAATGTCGTGCGCTGCTACCTCAGTTCTCTCCTTCTTCGTCGTTCGTTGTTTGACGTGGTAACGCCGCCCCCTCGCCGCCCCCTCGCCGCGCTCTTACACAGCTTTGCACCGCCGTTGTTGCCGTGTGTGTGGTACCCCTCGTTTCCTTAAGGAAACCCCTTCTCATCAGGTTAGATTAAGTTGATTAAGTTGTATGGATGATTTACAGCATGCATTTAACATAAATATAGATTATTTAGAGCATTTCCTGCATATGAACATTGGAAAGATGATGGATGATTTTGTATGGTTTGATTTGATCTAGGTTCCTTTAGGCTTTTGGAAGTTTGTTTTCGGTTTCGAACTGGTATATACTAATGTAGATGTACACGTTTTATTTTCCCATTCTTTACGTGGGAAATCAAATGTAGACGTTTTTTTTGTATTGTTTTGCTAAACCTTTTCTAATAAACCTTGAATATCTAGGCAAGTCCTTTTGTGTAGTTAGATGGATCGAACTTGGGTCAATGCAAGTCGCATGTCAGAAGAGTATGAGAATGGAGCTGACTCCTTTTTGAAATTTGCCGAAAAAAATGCTCCCAAAATGAATGGAAAAATCTATTGTCCATGCGTTAATTGTGTAAATGGCGAGTACAAGAGATGGACACAGCGGGAACATCTTATTTGCGATGGGATGATGAAGTATTACACCATATGGACATGGCACGGTGAAGTGGTTGATATTCCAACGAGTATCACAAACTATTGAGGATGATGTAACACTGCGAAGATCGAATAGAGGACATGCTTTGTGATGTGGGTCAAGAGAGCTTTCTTGAAGCACATGCATCTATATATGATACATTGAGGACCGATTCAGAGACACCTTTGTATCCCGGATGTACAACTTTCACACGGTTGTCATCTGTGTTAAGATTGGTCAATCTAAAAGCAAAATTTGGTTGGAGTGATACAAGTTTTAATGAATTACTCCAACTTTTGAAGGAGATGCTCCCAGACAATAACACCTTGCCGGACCGTATGTATGAAGCGAAGAAGATACTATGTCCGATGGGTTTAGAATATAGGAAGATACATGCTTGCCCTAATGATTGTGTGTTATACAGGAAAGAATTCTCATCTTTAGACCAATGTCCAACATGTGGTGTATCACGTTACAAAGCGAAGGATGGTGATGATTGTAGTCGGGAGAGTGGTAAAAACGTCCTCCTGCAAAAGTTTTATGGTATCTTCCAATAATTCCAAGAAGATGCTTGAAAATTTAATTTGGCATTCAAAGAGAAAAACATGTGATGGGCAAATGCGACATCCATCTGACTCTCCCCAATGGAAGAATTTTGACCGTCTATTTCCAAGTTTTGGTAGTGATGCAAGAAACCTTAGACTTGGATTAGCAACAGATGGGATGAATCCTTTTGGAAATTTAAGTAGTAACCATAGTTCATGGCCCGTTTTATTGATGATTTACAATCTTCCACCATGGTTATGCATGAAGCGCAAATATGTCATGTTGTGTATGATGATTTCAGGTCCAAGACAGCCAGGAAATGACATAGATGTGTATTTGAGTCCTTTG